AACCCGACTAGAAAACCTGCTGTATAAAATAATGTTTTCGTATAATTCTTTCTAAAATTCAAGTCTTCGCGTAATGATTTTTCCCTATCTGAACTATGTTATTTCTCCAGAGTATTATAGAAACATAACAAACGCTATATTTTCGTATCATCATCATCAACTCAATTATGCGTCCCACTGCTGAGCACGGGTCTCCTCTCAAGCGAAGATTTAGGCTGTAGTCCGCCGCGCTGGCCCAATGGGGGTTGGCGACGCTGGCCCAATAAGGGAAAAGTTTTTCTAGGGTTCCGAGCCTTCTTCGACATGCAGGTTTATCGCGATGCTTTCGTTCACCGAAAAGCTCAGGGTAAATTTCAAATTAAATTTCGCACATAAATTCCGATAAAGTCAGAGGTACGAGCCCGGACTTAACCCTTTAGACTATTAGGCTATCACGACGTGTAATATAATTATCGTATTTTTATTTTTTTGTTGCCCTTCTGGGTATATGTAAAAAATATAGCTTAATGCGCGCGGTTGTTTACGGATGTCAGCGGGACACAGACGCCATGCGGGATACAACTAGGCAAGTGTCAACTGATCTACCAATCACACGCTTGATAACTAGGCTTGAGTACTCAATTCTCAATATATTTATTGCATTCATATGGTATATACATGTCTTAAAATTAAAATAATGCTACACATATGAGCCCTTTATTAGGGACAGTAATAAGAGCAGAGGTAGGCCAAGGTTTCAATTATTAATTAAAATTGTTATTTATCAAATAATAATATAAAATAAATAATATGTCATATAATAAGAAATACGTCATATAATAGGCAATTATGTCACTTGAAGGTTTAAATTTAATTAGATTACAATAGAATAACTTTATAGTATATAATTAAGATTTACTTATTATTCAAATTTATTATAACATTAGTATTTTGATTTGTCATCAAAGTATTCATTTAAATTGCAATAGTATTTATTAATAACATGTAATTTTAATTTATTATTGTAGTTCATGAACTAAGCACTAACAGGAATTAATTCCTGACCCTGACCGAAAGGAACTAGTTCCTTATGCACGGTCTTTTTAATTCAGTCGGAATGGGACCTGTTTGCAAAGCCCCAGACGCGAGGCGATCATATCAGTTACCTGTCTTTTTAGTTCCTTCGTTCTTTCAGTTCACAGACGCGAGGCGAGATTGAGCGGACGAGACACTATTGGACTACCATGGCTTTCAGTACAAATTCGAGTTAGATGCACGATTGAACTTTTGCCAGCTCGTTTAGGACCACAGAAACTTAAATAAATATTTAGGTTTCATTAAGACCGAAATATAAATCTAAAAGTATGCAATAGATTTGTTTCATAGTTACTTTTATTTTCTTTATCGAATGGTGTGGAAGTGTGTTAAATTACTTATTTTATAAACATTCCTATATAAAGCAACAAACTCAAAAACAACAAATATACACAATATGTTTTTTTTTTAAATAAAATTATAAATAATACAAAGAAAATAATTGTAAACATGAAAAATCTTTATTCGAAAAACACAAAAGTATAACAAAATAGCAAAGAGGGAAAACAAAACATTCCTATTTAAATCTATAAATCGTTCGTATGGTTAAATTCATTCCGTGTCCTTCAAAGATCGAAACGGTTCCTATTCTCATGGCATTGAATTAAGGAACTAAAAGACCGAATTAGTTAATTATCCGATCGAACTAATTGGGATCGCTCCCTCTAAAGACCGAGCGGGCACAAGTTTACTCGATACGATACTCCCCCGCAGTCCCTACCCGCACCCCACCCCAACCCATTTGATTGCGCAGATGTATTTTAAGTAAAAATACATCTGCGCTTTTTTTGAAGACTATTTATTGTTCAAGACGTAAGCCTCTTTCTGTACATACAGTACGTAACAGTAGAGGTGGATGATAAACAACGTCACTATGAAAAAATCACGATGATCCGCCGTCAAACAGTATCACCGTGACTCGTTCCGTGGTGACAGAGCGCGCCACTCGTTGTAGTTCTCTTCAAATCGGGCCATTTCGGCGATGGGAGTGAGTGAAATAGGATGACTTTCTTTGATAACTCACAAGGGTCATAGGTGCTTATTACTACTAGAAAGAGCGGATGACAAAAATCTGCAGCAGTTACTATAAACCTATTTGTTAACAAAGTAAAATATTTTTGTATATTTGTTTTATTATAGGAAGAGTTGGTATTTTATATTTATGTATAATCTACTTTGTGTATTCTATTAGAAATATTACATACACTTTATTGCTATTTTTAACAACCCAAAGATTCGCATTAAATAAGTAACAAACAAAATTACATTACATACAAAATCAACTTTTTGAATGGACTTGAAACTTATTACAAAGGGAGTAAAAACTTAAATCATTCTATAAAAAACGGCTATAAGTATTAGAAACAAGCCGCTCGCTAAAACCGTATATCGTGATGTAAGTTATAGGCGTGACAAGGTCACGGAAGTAACAGTTGTGACAAAATCACTGATGATGCTTGCGACGGTGACTTTTTTGGAACCGGAAAGACAGTCGGCGATAGAAATGTAACGCTATTCCCCATGTCTAGTTAGCCGATTTCTGTACATACAGTATATAATAATTTATTAGGCTATAACAGCCATTCAAAAATTGCCGTAGCGGACGGTGTTTCACGTCCACTTGGCGGGGTATTGGTAAAGTTTTCAACTAGCAATAATCGCACCTCGGATAAACCTCATCGGTTACGATATTGCCTCTGCGCAAAGTTAAACTTCAAAATTTCTATGGCAGGATGTCATGGTTTACGCGCGTAACTTTGATAGCGCGTTCTATCTCGATCCCAATGCCATCTAGCGGTGAATCTCGGAACTAATATTAGTACATGTAGGAGAATTTTTTTTTTCAATAAGTTCTTTATTGCACAAAGAACATACATTAAAAACACATGTCATAATGGACATATACAAAGGTGAGCTTACTTACAGAAGAGATCTCTTCCAGCCGACCCTATTATAATGTACTTGCAATATATTTAATTCCATGTAATTATTCTATTTGTATGCATCAATTATACTTTACATAATAGTAATATGTATATAGTAATATTATTATTATTTTGTAATACAATTGTGATGTTATGCTTAAGTACTATCCAGTTAGCCTTAAAATTGCTTTTACGTTCGGATTTTCTGTAAGCAGTATGTAGTTTATTGTCAAATAAATAAATCAATTAAAATTTTAATATAAATGACGATAATATAAGTAAAAATGATAAATATACCTACATAAACTTAATATACATAAATTAACATATAAACACAATATATACTATTATGAAACAAATTGTTAGTTTATGTTTATGTGATTCGACTTCGAAAGGAAATGCTCTTTTAATTTCTGTTTGAATGTTACTAACGAAGGTAAAGTTGGTAAAGTTTGCGTTTAAAAACGAATGCTAGCCGGCGATATACTTATTAATTTATTATGTTTTTTTTTAATTTATTTATTCAATTTCAAAAACAAATTTCACAAAAAACGACTCTTTTTTATTGCTAGGTAAAAACTTAGTTGGCTATCCACCTAGCGATGAGCTAACAAGCTTGACACTTAAATTAACTTACAATTCACTATAATATTAATAAATTGAAGAGTATATGTCTACATTTACATAAGTGCTATAGATATTATACTACAAACCAAGGTAGTGTCTCTTTAAAATGGTTTTGCATTTCTTGAGATGTCAAGAGGGTGATGGCCCTCAATGTCACTTTGCACTGGCTGGTAGAACGTTCAGAATTTCTGGTTGCATGTAGTCCGGCCTGCACATTCCATATACGTTGTTGTATCCCGGCAAAGTATACGTTGGTAAGGTAAATGATCGGATGATTCCTGACATACGAATAGCATTGTAGCTTAAGTAATTTGTCATAGTTATCTTAAATTTTGATTTTACGTCGTAAGGAACAATTAACTTTAATAAACATAGCTGCAGTTTATAGATACTGTTCAAGTAGGTCAGATAAGTGCGTCCATAGGTATATAAACCATAGTTTATTGCAGATATTAATTAATTTATTGTTCGTGTGACCTTTATACTTGGATAATTTTTCTTTATATTATTGTGAACACGGAAAATAATATACTTTTATTGTTGCGATCCAGTGTTACATACGCTTTCATAGCACAAATAATTATTATTGTTCTTTACGCCACTGATGAGTGTATGTAACTAGCTTGTTTTTGAAAAAAATTAGTTATTTACAACCAATCATAGAATATGTTTACGTGGACGAGTTAAAAACAAAATGTTGGCGTATTACTTCGAATATTCATGTAAATAAGATAAGAAAATGTACGAGCATCGGATTTAGAATTAATTAATTCCTGTTGTTAGCGAATCGTGACATCAATTCATTTTAATTAAATTTTTATTGAATTGATATTCAATTATTTTTTGTGAAATTACTCCACTAGTTTGTTATAATTATTAATACAAAGATCGAACACTCAGAAAAAACACTCAGAAAAAATTCCTTCGATCCGGTCGGATTCGAACCGACGTCTTCTTGCATACCGTGCCAGACGCTATACCAACTAAGCCACGGAACGAACCAACGGACCTCACGAATTCTTCTATGTGCTTGCGTCGTGTCTTTGTACTTGGTCTTTCAACGATCAATTCATTTTGTTAGAAAACTTACTTTGTATAAATATTTTATCTTTATTTTTTGGTCACTTTCTGTTATTTTTGTAAACAGCCATATTTATTGACTAATATTATGCTATCCGAATTTTGTGATAAAAAAATTAAGAAACAAAAAACAAAATTTGAAAATAAAAAAAAACGAATTTTGTCATAAAATTAGTTTTTACAGAACAGGTCACAAATTAAGTATCGTTTATAGGAGGTATAAACGATGTACAATATGTAAAATACTTCCCCTCGTGTCACCCAGTATAGCGGCCTCTAGGAATAAATTGAAATGTATTTACCTGTCCGTATATTTAGTTAGTCCCTTTAGCGTATCTTGGGGGCCGAACGGTCGTTGCAGTGTTTATTTCGCTTGAGCGTCGCACCGCGTTTGATCTGCTCCATAAGCGAGGTGTGGCACTGGCGGGGGTCAGGCTGGAATGGTTAATCATTAACCGACTTTAGAAAAAGAGTTTCTCAACTCGATGACGAATGAATAAGCAATTTTTTTAACCATCTTAATGTAGGGAATGTAATGTTTTCTTTGTTTATGATATCAAGTGATGGGACGAAGTCGTGTTCATGTCAGTTGCAGTGCCATGCCACTGCCCCGTCACCCCGAGACAGAAGATGACAAGTGTTTCATGTGCCTGCAATTTCACTAGCACCCTTACGCTTCTAAATAAAGAAGTAATGCTAATATTACTGCTTGGCGGCAGAAATAGGTAAGGCAGTACTTCCCGGGACGAAATCTTTCACAACGGAGCTCTACTGCTGCTAATGTGTGTATGTCATGTGGTTACCCCAATATTTGTGATTCTTTTTTATTCGAAAGAAGGTCTCTCAGAAGCGGTCTCATTCGAATTTGAAAAATTCCACCTCTAAGGATGGCAAATTAGGAGATAAAACCGATGTCAATAACACTTAGCAACTAGGTGTAACGTCACGAACCTTTGAGTTCATTTTTCTTTTATAAAACAGTTATAATTTACATTAAATTTTAAGACAATTTTTCTCCTGAAATTAAAAGCAACGCGGGCGCCATGGACACACATATAGACAACCACAAATTACACCCAAACTCAGTGACCGTCAGGATGGCTGATCGCCTGTCGCAACTGGCTCTGAGGGTCGTATTCCAGAACTACTCAATGCTCAAGTCAGGATTTGAGCAGACTTGAGTATGATTTCAAGCACTGGAAATACGACCCTAATGGCAAGGACTTGAGTATGATTTTCAGTGCTCACTGCAATACTCAAGTCCTGACTTGAGTATTGAGTAGAGTTCTGGAATAAGACTGAGTGTATATTCAAGAATTGCTACCTTTTCTAAATAATTGCTACCTTTGATATATTGAGAAAAAAAAATTACCAGCCATTCTGACGTCAGGATGGCTGGTAGCCACTTTGTTCAGCATGAAAGGAGCAGATTTTCCAGACGTATGTATTACCAATAATTGCAACCTATTTGCTACCTTCACGAATTAAAGGTAAATACGCTTCCTATCTACATTAGTTAAAAAATATAAACGATTGAAAATTTTACTAAGAAGTATCAACGCCTGCCTTTTGTATTATGGCAATAAAGCACTAAAAACTTTTGCTTTTTTAATTTAATCAGGCACTTCTTCGTAAAATTTTCAATCAGATATTTTTCAACTAATGTAAATAAGAAGCGTATACTTTTAATTCGCAAATAGGTACCAATTATTGGTAATACATACTTCTGGAAAATCTGCTCCCTTCATGCTGAACAAAGTGGCGACCAGCCATCCTGACGTCAGAATGGCTGGTCAATAATTTTTTTATTTCTCAGAATATATCAAAGGTAGCAATTATTTAGAAAAGGTAGTAAATAGTAGCAAATAGGTTGCAATTCTTGAACTCAGTGCCAGATGCGACGCGCGACCAGCCATCCTGACGGTCACCCAAACCCACGAGAGCAACAAATGTAGGCCAAACAGATATTTCTCCCGGCCTGGGAATCGAACCTAGGACCTCTGCGTGGCAGTCCGGCATGGTGACCGTTCGGCCACGGAGGCAGAGGAATGATTAAGTCGTGCATCTGTTGATAAGCGACACGCTACCTATAACAGTTACATCGCCACTCAGAGCTTTAAACAGCAAATATCTGACCAGCACTGCCATTGTGCCCGTCACCCGAAACGCAGTAATTACTTGGCGGCAGAAATAGGTAAGATATATATTTATAACAAACTAGTGGAGTCATTTCACAAAAAATAATTTAATCATCACGGTATTGAAACGTCCTGACATTCAATAACTAAATGATAATAAAAACTTAATGATATCATAAGTTACAACTCTGAGTTTATGTCATTCATACATTGCATCACGTTACATAAGTCACTGTTTATGTCATTCAAAATTCGTGGTTAAATAAGTCATGTTGTACATGAGTAGCAGTAGAGTGTTTGTGAAAGAGTCCGTCCGGGGAAGTATTGCCATCGTACCTATTTCTGCCGCCAAGCGGTAATGTTGAATTCCGATTTCGAAGGGTAAGGGTGCTGGCGAAATTACAGGCACATGGGACTTGCAGCTTATGCCTTATGTGGTCGGGTCAAGTGGTGGTGGTGGCAGTGCCCCTCATATCTTTGTGAACCTCTGAGTGCCACTGCAACTGTTATGGACAGTCGCATCGCCTACCATTAGGCGCACGATGTGTTGGTGCCGTTACTTAGTATTATATATAAAAAAATATGACTGTGTAAACATGGAGCCAAATAATGAGTTAAAATAATGAATATGACTATAGTGTGGAAGATTTAGTTGCGTATTTGCCTATTTAGCTCCAACCAACCAGCGCACGATAACGCGATTTTAGTGTTGGCTGTATTTGTCGAAGAGGCAAAAAAGGCAAATATTTTGTCACACACGTTATTTACACATGTTGATTGTTTGCCAAATATATCAAATGCGCATATACAAATAGCCATGTGAAATGCCACCAAAGGCTCTGCAAATAAGGGAAAACCTATGTAAAATGACAATAACACAATTTTTTTACAAGTTAATTTAAGACCACGTGTGATAATGCGTCAAGTGTTTTATCACATACATACAAGTCCTTAACATAATACGAACTACGTGAAACAATTTATATATATCGTCGCTTTGCAAACAACACCGCTTAAGTAATTTAATAGGAGCGTGAAAAACTTGCATAATTATATTCTTGTATAATACCAATAGGTAAAAAAATCTTTTATACAAATAATATAACTCTTCTATTCAAACATAAAAAACTTATCGACAAATTAGATTAACGTTAAACCTGTCTCCAGAAAAAGTTGCCGTTCTGCAGATGTGGCCTTTATCCATATCCTGGCGACATTAACAATTCCCTTGCGGCCATATTCGGAACCGAAAAATGGTTCAATGTCAAATTGTTTGTCCTTAAACGTATATATTCCAAAGCCTTTTTCCTTCCTGTCCCACGATCATTTCCTTGATATATTAGTTTTTCTACGTATAACTTACATAATAAACCACAATATGACGACACATCGTAGCTTGCAACTGCCAGAAGGATATCTTTTAGTAGCATTATAGATCCTTGTGAAAGAGTTCGTCCAGGGAAGTTCTGCCACCTTATCTATTTCTGCTACCAAGCAATAATGTGAATATTACTGCGTCCCGGTTTGGAAGGGAAGGGTGTTGAATTACAAGCACATAGGACTGTTATGGACGTGTAGCTTGGCATCAGGCGCATGACTTGTTATTATATAAAAAAGTCTATTACTAATGGTAATATATGTATGTTGTCTGTATATTCATGCCATACCTGCGTATGCGCATTGATCATATCCCGCACAGTTTTGGCGCGGGGCGAGTCCAACTGGCGCTTCTGCTGTTCAATTGTAGCTGATAGCTTGTCTAGGAACGCGGGCTGCACTGCCGCTGACTTCGGCCCTGCAAGTATTCAATTTCATACTGGTAAGAGATTTTTGAAAAACCTTCTCAGTCATGTACCTACGTCAGTGCATCTTCATGCTGGTATAAAAATATTAATGCATTAATTAAGTACTATATTTAACAAAGATTTATCCACAAAAGCATGAGAATACTGTTATTACACCTTAATTTTTTCAAATTATGTTTACAATCTGTAGGTATAACTAAAATAACAACGTGACAGCCCTAATCTCCAAGTGAGGTGCAGATTAACGATACAAAGATACTTATTTGTATGTGGTAACGATTAAAAAAAATTAATAAAATAGAAAATTTAAAGTCTTATTAATCAGTTTTTAATACTCGCAAGAGTGATTTAAAAGACACAACAGCAATTACAAATGTTCGGGCCATTAAAACTCCTGAGGGCTTCTACTGGTACAATACAATATAAAATAATATATTCAGGATACTATTGCGTCTACCGCGGTGCGGCAGCGCGTCAGGCATGTTTGCCGAGATGCCCGAATGGACGGTTTAATGCAACAATCCGCAAAAAACGGCATCGCTGACACATCGCCTGCAGCACAGTGACAATGGTGTCCTGAAGATTATATACCTCTAAATTTTATTGTTCTATCCAGACGCATTGGATGAAAGTAGTAATTGGAATCGTATTTGGAATAGTAACTGTGTAATAATTTAATTTATTTAATTTAATTCCGTACCTAATAATTTAATTTATTATATTTCATTCTGTAATAATTAAATTTGTAATTTTTTTTCTATAATAATTGAACTGTACAAAATTTTATTGTGTCAAATATTATTTAATAAAATTGTAACTAAGACAGAAGGGTCCAAGTGACTTGAAATAAATTATTTTTATTATTTAACTGTCTATTTAAAACAATGTAAACGTAAAATCACGTCAAATACGGGATTTTCTGCAAATACGGAAGACAATGCTGTATCATGTGCCAATTTTATTTAGAAATGAGGAAGCTGTTTTTAAAAGTAAAAGGAAACAAAAGATCGGTGCAGCGTTTGCTACCTTTGATTTTGTGCGATGGGTCGGCCGAGGTGATCGTGGAAATGGCGCGGCGGGTGGTTCGCGGCGACAGTTGCGGCGCCAGCTTAGCGCTCAGGGTGGCGATAAGGCCCTCTGAAACATAGACGATTTTATTTTTAAACTACATTGACTTTTCCATATGTAGTAAAACCACAAAGTTAGAAGGCTAACCAAAGAGTGAGACTTTTAATCAATATACAGGATAATTTTTAAAATACTAACAACCTCGCAGGACTATATTACTAACATCATAAAAAATTACTTTTATTATACGACTTTTTATAAAATATAATAAATTTAGTAGAAACAAACTTAAGTTTTTTCTTGTATTATCATTTTTAACCGACTTCAAAAAAAGAAAGAGGTTTTCAATTCGACTGCGTTTCTTTTTGTATGTAAATTACGCGATAACTCCGGTATTTGTAAATCGATTTTCATGATTCTTTTTTTTGTTGGAAAGATGGTACCTCCATAGTGATCCCATTTAATTTTGAAGAAAATCATCCACCGCTAAGGGTGGCTGTACACGCATGAAGATTCATTTTTATAAATAGCGCCTAAATTTTATTATAAGGAGCAAATTATTTTAATGGTTGATTTTGCTATTCTCCAATTCGAGGCGTTTTCTCTCAATATACTTTGAGTAGTGAGAACCGATTTTTATTATCTCCCGTGTCAAGTCCCGTATAGTGGCGAACTAGGGGATGAATCCGGGTTTGCGCACTTGGTAATTATATGCACTTTTGAGGTCCGTTTTTTAGTACTCTGTACTGAGATTATTTAGATCTGTGTTTTACAAATTATGAATAATTTAGTGTAGTCACCATTACATTTGACTTTGTTTTTTTCCCCAAGTAGTTTTAAGAACTTAATTTGCATGTTATATGATTTAAATGTAATTTTACAATAATTTCAGAAGTAGTGATCCCACTCTTCTTTGTTGAAGAACTGCTTGCGGGCAAAAAATGGAGACCGTGGAGTGCTCAAGAAAGATCGCCGGACAAACGCATTCGAGCACGACATCCAATACGAATCCACTGGACGATCTAAGTACCACACCATCTGGTATAAGCGTTCCGTTACTTTACGATAAACGGCAGCTATATCGGGTCCACTAGTCCAATATTCAGGGTCCACTGAAAATCAGCGTCACAGCCTTGTCCCGGCGGTGACATTAGCTGAGTGGATCCTATTACATACGCCACAGCCGCACACATGACATCTACATACTTAGTACAGCAATAGTGTTGACCAGCTTTGTGGTCGCATAATTATTTATTGCTAAGATTTTATTTATAATTAATTTTATTTAGTTTTCTTTTTTGTTATTCATTTTCTGTTTGTTTTAATTTAGTTTGTTTTAGTTTTAATTTAGTTCTGTTTTATTTTTTTATTGTTTTTACTTTTTATTTTTTACTGTTTATTATTGTGTTGTGGTGTTATGTAATAAATGTATTCTATTCTATTCTATTCTATTCTATTCTAT